TGTGATGGGGGGCCCTGCAGTAAGTCATAGCCCCGGGGCCCAGTGCGGTCTTAATGCGGCCCTGGGTGTGCTGTATGTGTTTTAATCAAAAGAACAGGCTCATGAGATTCATTCGTTCAGGAGTCGGACATTGTCACTGATTGTGCTGTATGTGTTTGATAAAAGAACTAAAAAGAGTCAGACTACACTGGTTGTGCGGCCGTTTTCGATACACTACAAAGAACTGGAACATAAGAGACCATTCGTTTTAGGGTTGGACTACAGTGTTTGTGCTGTTTGTTTGTTTGTTTTTGACACTAAAAAGAACCGACTCTGTTGAATCTATAGTGCTGGAAACTCTATTTTATTATGGTGTACCATCGGCATTTGGCAAAAGAATTCACAAAGCTTCATTTGCAGGATCAACTACATATAAAAACAATGGAAAAGCGGCACATTGGAATTAGACCCATAATATTTAGCTTAAAGGCTCAAGAACAACTATATTAGCATCCACACCAGCGGACGATACATTTACATAAACACTGTTTAATGCTGCAGTTATGTTGCATGCTGCTTAAAATTCGAGCACTGGAATATTGGGTGTATTCTGAGTGGCTGTCAATGTTTTTATCATTCATTAGCTGGAAAAAAAAAATCTTGTCATTATCGTTGTGGTGTGGACTTTCCCATTCACATATAATTGGAATGATTAATAAAACCGTATAGGTATCATATTATAGTTATAGTTCATGGTGTGAACAGCCCTTAAAAGGACAAATAATTTTTAGGATACATTCTTTTAGGATTTTTAAGGGATGTTTTTAGTAAAAGATGAACAGATGCTTAGTTTGACCTCTGACTGCTCTTACTGTTTGCTAAAGCAATTGAATTGTTTTGTGCGCATTCAGGTTTTTCAGAGCTGCAATAGTGGACAGTAAGATAATCTGCCAGGCTTTCTTTCCAAAGTGCATGTTGCTCTGATTTATCCAAGCACATGGATCTCAGGATCAGTGTTCGGATTTTAATTTGAATATTTTTTGATCCTCCATCCTGTAGGTGGCGCCGTTATCTCTGAACTTAACAATGGGCAGATGGCAGCATATGTGTGTGAGTTGGAACCGGAGAGCTGGATCATGGCATGCCTACTTAGGGGGCAAACTAAAGATTGAAGGAAGTGACCTGGCAACCCGTCACAGCATCCGACCGGGAGGAACTCTCATACTTGGCCAAGAACAGGTACGTCAGATTTTGGCCATTGTAACTGGTTGCCAGACGGTGGTAGCTCAAGATGAGCAGCATTTGGTATTCACACAGCATGGAAAAGTTACCATCAACACAAACCAAATCCGAAACACGCCTTTTTGTTTATCCTTTCCTTTACCTTTCCCTGCCCTCTTCATCCCTCTCTCGTGAAACTCCAGTGCACTTATCCTTTCATTAGACCTAGTGAGCTTAAAGTCGTCCTATGTTTCATGTTGTTTTATTTAGTCTGAGGTTGTGCTTTTAAGCTATGGACTGACTATGATAAACAAAATTATAAGGAAAACCATGTTTCCAGAGCTGTTTCATTTGGTAAGTGAATTTTCTGGGAATTCTCTGAGCTGGTTCGTACTACATTGCTGTATCACTGGCTGATTTGAGCTTATCTAATACATCTGTGGATGTTTCTGGGACCATTTTTTAAAATTAATATTGGAATATAAGACACTTAAAATGACACATTAAAATGTTGCATCACATTTTTAAGAAGCTGTAATGTTTTAATATCACTGGAGCCGAAATGAAAAAGATTCCACTATTTCAGAAACCGTCAAATGTGCTTTTGTTGTTTTTATCATTGTTTGAGTTTAAATGTAATTTTGGACAATCATTCTTGTGGCACAATATATATTTCACACTAACACTGATTTAGTTTTTTTTTTTTTTTTTTTTTTTTTTTAGAAAGTAATGGTGCAATGATTGCTTAAAGTTAACTGTCTTAAAGTTAGTCAATATCTGGATGCAATGAAATTCCAACTACAAAGTCATCAGTTTTTGTTTTTCTTTAAAATAGAATTTAAATAGCTTTCATAATAAAAATAAATAAATAAAAATAAAATGGAGTTTTACTAAAAAATTCAGATCTAAGCCACCCATTGATTTCAATGAATAATGAGATTTTTTAATATGATTTTTTTACATTACAAAAAATGTTATATGATTTTTATAATTTGCTGCACAGTCTGAATACATTGTTGAAAGGAATTTGGCATTTTCACACAGAAACTACAAGTAAATTTCACAAACAATTCCAAAGAAACGGCAAAGTAACAACTGTTTATTTAAGCAAGACACTGAATTGAACGTGAAATTTTGAAGTAGAAAAACAGAAATAGTGTGTTATTGTAAAACATACTCCAGTAATCTTTGTTTTATTTACAATTTTGGAAAAAAAAAAAATGTACAGTGTATTTCCTGTCTCCTGCAGAGCTCAATGGGTGGTCTTCGTTTCGAAGCGTCGCGGTCTATGGTGGGAGAGCTGTCTGATTTTAACATTTGGGACCGGCCGCTTTCACACACAGAGCTCTCTGCTCTTGCCCACTGCAGCACGGGGATGCTGGGTAATGTAGTCCCGTGGACCAGCCGTGAGGTGGAGGTTTTCAGAGGTGTCACCAAGCAACTGGCTGATCATTGCGAGCATCGCACCGGCGCCAGGCAGTGATGGGCTCTTGAGGGCTCGTTTAAGGGTCAGAGAGTCAAAGACGGTGTTTAGAGATGGCAAAGAAACACCATGCCATGGTTATGGTCTTTTCTTTAAGGCAAAGTTTTTTGTTAGCGGTGTTTGCTAAAACATGCCTTGCCTAACTATCATTACTGTTCAGGGTTAGTGATTTGAACAAACCCCTAACCCTAAGTATTAAACAACAGCGCATAAGTCGTCCCACACTGTTTTATGCTACGAACAAGAATGATACCTCAAATAATGCAGCTTGTTGAGGAGAAGTGTGCTCTTATTTTTCTAAGCAATCAAACCTGTGATTTTAACTTGGCAGATGATAAAATGGGTGCAAATATTCTAGATTTAAAGGGATAGTTCAGCCAAAAGTGAAAATTCTGTCATCATTTACTCACCCTCAAGTTGTTCCAAACCTGTATGAGTTTCTTTTTTCTGTTGAGCACAAAAGATGATATTTCGAAAAATATATGTAACCAAACAGTTGCTGGAAGCCATTGACTTTCATAGTATTTTTTTTCTCTCTATACTATGGAAGTCAGTGGCTACCAGCAACTGTGGTTACCAACATTCTTCAAAATATCTTCTTGTGCTCAAAGGAAGAAAGAAACTCGTACAGGTTTGGAACAACACAAGGGTGAGTAAATGATTACAGAATTTTCACTTTTGGCTGAACTATCCCTTTAAGTTGTGGTCACATTTACCATTGT